AACGGAAGCGGGTAACAACAATTACAAACACCAGCCCCTTAAAAACAAAGCATAAGAAAGAGGAGGAAAAAATCACCAAAATCAAACTTACGCATAAAGAATAAGCGCAATGGCACATAAGTAGTGACGAAAACTCGGCATTATAGTTGTATCAAGAAACACATTGGTGGCATCAACATCATCCTCCTCCTCATCATCATCATGGTTTGGAAAGCAGAGTAGGAGTGGGAGTCATGCTTGATTTTCCGACCAAAATACTACTTGGGCTTCCTCGGGAGAAACTCATCATCATCATCATCATCATCATCATCATCATCATCATCATCATCACCATCACCTCCTTCTCCTCCTTCTCCCCCTTCTCCTCCTCCTCTTACTCATCATCATCATCCTCATCATGCTCCTCATCATCATCATCATCATCATCATCATCACCATCATCATCATCATCATCATCGTCATCATCATCTTCATCATCATCGTCATCAACATAATCATCATCATCAGCAGCAACAGCAGCAGCAGTAGCAGCAGCAGCGGCACAAAGCCTAAGGTTTAACAAATTTTAACAACTTTACTGACATCGCTCCTCCCTAATCCCGCCAGCTAGACACACGCACAAACACGCACACACACACACACACAAACACACACACGCACACACACATACTCACACACGCCCACACACACACACACACATACACACACACGTACACACACACACACCACCACCACCAACAACAACAACAACAACACAACCAACAACAATAATAACACAACCAACAACAACATCAAAACTACCTCCACCACCACCAACAACAACAACAATAACAGATAAACAACTTTACAACGTACTTGCGAAAACTTTCTTGGTCTTCGTGCGCGTCTTCCCATGACTGTTCAAGTCTCTTGCTTGGCCGTTGTGTTTGCCCCCTGCGCCTCCCGTGAGGTCTTTCATGTTGTTCATCTGGTTGATAGCCCTCACGTCATGCACCAGGCGCCGGTTCTTCATTGACTTCTTACACATGATCACCGTCACTGCCACCGCCAAACCAATGCCCGCTACGCCGGCCGCGGCAATGGCCACCAATTTATATGTCTCGAACGATGTTTTGTCTCTGGAGATATTTTGAGGGCAAGAAAAGTGATGAAGAATAAATAGTAGAGAGAGGCACAGAGAGAGAGAGAGAGAGAGAGAGAGAGAGAGAGAGAACGAGAGAGAGAAAGAGAGAGAGGGGGGGAGGAGGGGGTGAAGAAAGAAAGAGAGATATGGAAAGAGTGAGGGAGAGAGGCAGAGAGAGAGAAAGAGAGACAGAGAAACAGAGAGACAGAGGGAGACAGAGACAGCGACAGAGAGAGAGAGAGAGAGAGAGAGAG